AGCCTAGACTATAGACTAGACTATAGACTAGACTAAGACATAGACTAGACTATAGACTAGACTATAGACTAGACTATAGACTAGACTATAGACTAGACTATAGATAGACTATAGACTAGACTATAGACTAGACTATTAGACTAGACTATAGACTAGACTAGACTAGACTATACTAGACTATAGACTAGACTATAGACTAGACTATAGACTAGACTATAGACTAGACTATAGACTAGACTATAGACTAGACTATAGACTAGACTATAGACTAGACTATAGACTAGACTATAGACTAGACTATAGACTAGACTATAGACTAGACTATAGACTAGACTATAGACTAGACTATAGACTAGACTATAGACTAGACTATAGACTAGACTATAGACTAGACTATAGACCAGACTACAGACTAGACTATAGACTAGACTATAGACTAGACTATAGACTAGACTATAGACTAGACTATAGACTAGACTATAGACTAGACTATAGACTAGACTATAGACTAGACTATAGACTAGACTATAGACTAGACTATAGACTAGACTATAGACTAGACTATAGACTAGAATATAGACTAGACTATAGACTATACTATAGACTAGACTATAGGCAAGACTATAGACTAGACTATAGATTAGACTACAGATTAGACTATAGACTAGACTATAGACTAGACTACAGATTAGACTATAGACTAGACTATAGACTAGACTACAGATTAGACTATAGACTAGACTATAGACTAGACTATAGACTAGACTATAAACTAGACTATAGACTAGACTATAGACTATAGACTAGACTATAGACTAGATTATAGACTAGACTATAGACCAGACTATAGACTAATCTAGACTATAGACTAGACTATAGGCTAGACTATAGACTAGACTATAAACTAGACTACAGATTAGACTATAGACTAGACTATAGACTAGACTATAGACTAGACTATAGACTAGACTATAGACTAGACTATAGACTAGACTATAGACTAGACTATAGACTAGACTATAGACTAGACTATAGACTAGACTATCGACTAGACTATAGACTTGACTATAGACTAGACTATAGACTAGACTATAGACTAGACTATAGACTAAACTATAGACTAGACTATAGACTTGACTATAGACTAGACTATAGACTAGACTATAGACTATACTATAGACTAGACTATAGACTAGACTATAGACTAGACTATAGACTAGACTATAGACTAGACTATAGACTAGACTATAGACTAGACTATAGACTAGACTATAGACTAGACTATAGACTAGACTATAGAGTAGACTATAGACTATAGACTAGACTATAGACTAGACTATAGACTATAGACTAGACTATAGACTAGACTATAGACTAGACTAAAGACTAGACTATAGACTAGACTATAGACTAGACTATAGACTAGACTATAGACTAGACTATAGACTAGACTATAGACTAGACTATAGACTAGACTAGACTATAGACTAGACTATAGACTAGACTATAGACTAGACTGTAGACTAGACTATAGACTAGACTATAGACTAGACTATAGACTAGACTATAGACTAGACTATAGACTAGACTATAGACTAGACTATAGACTAGACTATAGACTAGACTATAGACTAGACTATAGACTAAACTATAGACTAGACTATAGACTAGACTATAGACTAGATTATAGACTGGACTATAGACTAGACTATAGACTAAACTATAGACTACACTGTAGACTAGATTATAGACTGGACTATAGACTAGACTAGACTATAAACTATTGACTAGACTGCAGACGACAGTATAGACTAGTCTATAGATAGACAAAGACATATCCGGCCAGACTTTCAGCGTTATATTGAAGACATTTAGGTCATCGACCGATTGTCGATACAGAAGGCATTGCACCATATGGTGGTCACAGAAGTCATTAATAGCTACCGGCTGGAATAAACTCTTAAGTCAAAATCAACCCACGATTTCGTGCAGAGAGGCAAACTCAATGAATACTTTCACCGGTTGTACCTGTGTTCTCAACTGCTACCAGAAGCCCTCATGATTCTGTACATCTTTTTAACTGTCACAGTATGTCTACTAATCGAAGGCACAATTTCTCCACCTCATTAATGAATTATTCAGGGAAAAACTTACAACAACAGGCTGTTTTGTTCTTTACTCTTTATTCAAATCATATTTCCCTGAGATCCTTGTTTATGGAGGATATATTGACATTCTTGCAAAATGCTAATACATACTAACTCCTCTAAAGCAGTAACCCAAACAGAGGGCCAAATCCGAAATTCTGGAAACTATGACGGAAGTAAAATCAACTGAATTATTTAAATACATACTTCATTTTTCCACAATGTTGCCTTAAAGTCCAATTCCCAAAATCAAATGAAATATTTAAATAATTTCTTGCTTCCAGTATGTTGTCTTAAAACCCAATACAAATTTTAAATCATAGAAAAGCAATAAATAAAAAAAGGACATCATTAGTATGAGTGTATATTTCAATATTCATTCAGTTGACCAAATGGATGAGTGGCAACATTTAGAGCTTAAAAAATGTTTCAAAATATATTCCTGTGTCGATATAATTCAGTCTGTCCAGCAGTTTGCTTTTTGACCTTACTCACAATCAACCGTACAATTGCTGCTGGGATTTTGTATGTTTTTTTTTTTTTTTTTGTAATGAGGATGTTTTTGGTCTCTGCTTTGTTGTTCCTTTGGCTGCCTTTATCAATGACAGGAAACAAAAATGTTTGTTTTTTCTGCATCTTTCTTTCATTTTACCTCCAGTCCAATTGTTATTATTCAAAAGGACTCCAATGAATGAATGTTGATACAACCAATTTTCAACATTACTGACCTTTTTTTGTGTTGGTGGTTATGTGTGTGTGTTAATGTATACATGAATGTATGTAATTTACTCATGTTTACATATGTAATCTACATATGTATATATGTATGTGAATACATATGCATGTATGTTATTTGTCCTTTTTTTACTTTTCCTGTTGAGATTATGTCTTGTTCACCTACAAAAGTCATGTGTAAATATTTGCTTTTGTGTTCATATAAACATAGTTAGACTAATAATCAGCTGTGGCCAATCACTCTTAAATTGTACGCTAATGTGTAAAGCAAGCGAAAATTTAATTTCTCTTTTGTGAAATTGCAACAAGTTTAGCAGTGTACCCGTACACAGTATTTGAAAAAATACCCTTGGCTGGTATAGATAAGTGGACTTATAGTAAACAAATGTTATGAATAAAAGTAGAGTAAATGAGTAGAAATTTATAGAATTTATATCAGTTCAGATATGTATACGGACATCATAGAATTCACAGAACTCTATAGTAAAAATTTCCGAAATAATAGAGATGTCTCATTTTCGATTTTAAACATCGAATGTGTTGCAGTTTAAGTAGAGACCGCGTTTAACTTATAAGCATAACATGTCATGGCCGGGATTCCATCCCCTGCAGCCAACCAACATCAATTTACATTAAGTCCTTACCAAAACTATCTAGAGAGATTCAAGAAAAACTATCAACTAAATGTTTGGTTTGTTCAATATTTTTTAAGTTCATTAATTAAACAACTATGTGTAGTATTTAAAAAGTTTTACAATTTACCCTCATTAGGAAACAAATGTATGCAGTAATATGAAAGAATAAATTCATTTTTGTTCAAAATATCTATCTATCTATCTATCTATCTATCTATCTATCTATCTATCTATCTATCTATCTATCTATCTATCTATCTATCTATCTATCTATCTATCTATCTATCTATCTATCTATCTATCTATCTATCTATCTATCTATCTATCTATCTATCTATCTATCTATCTATCTATCTATCTATCTATCTATCTATCTATCTATCTATCTATCTATCTATCTATCTATCTATCTATCTATCTATCTATCTATCTATCTATCTATCTATCTATCTATCTATCTATCTATCTATCTATCTATCTATCTATCTATCTATCTATCTATCTATCTATCTATCTATCATCTATTATCTATCTATCTATCTATCTATCTATCTATCTATCTATCTATCTATCTATCTATCTATCTATCTATCTATCTATCTATCTATCTATCTATCTATCTATCTATCTATCTATCTATCTATCTATCTATCTATCTATCTATCTATCTATCTATCTATCTATCTATCTATCTATCTATCTATCTATCGACCAACTTTAGGGCAAACTTTACAGTTATGCACTTCTTCAAGATCAAAATCACAAAAAAACTTAAAAAATAATCGATTTTTTCCCCTTTTTTCCCTACTAGATATACAGCTATACGCATACTCAATATTTGTAATATCATCAAATCATTAACACGTATACGTACAGGTGTCTAAAATAGAAGCAATGTAAAACAATGTAAAACTTTTTTCCACTTAAAATGAAAGAATGAAGATGAAGTTTTTGATTTTGTTGACTCAGAAAGTAAATTAAAACTCCGTACGATTTGCAAGATATGAGCCTGAGATATTTATCACTTTTGACACCGTGGCCCCAAATCTTTGGGGCCGCGGCAAACAAGAAATGTTCTGACACAACTAAGGTTAGGTAGGAGCAACAGGTTTTTTGTAGCTATTAAGTAATTTTAGACTTATTTCCAACATATGCTGATTCTCTTATGAGTTATAGATTAACTCAGCTTGCATAATTACAATTTAAGGATATTAGTATTTCCCCGATTCTAATTCGATAATAAAAACACAAACACTTTTTAATTTTTTTGATTATTTAGATTTGGAATATTTATTGAAATATTTGAAAGTTTGTTCTTTTTTTAAATAAAATTATACTTACAATAAAAGTGTACTTATTAGTTGTTAAATAATTGTATTAATAATTATGTAAATTTTCATTATTTTTTTGTTTTTATGTCATTATAATTATGAATATTTATAGATGTTAATTCGTTCAAAAGCAAAACTATTTAAATATATCGATTTCAATTCATTGTTTTAATTAGTAGTTAAACATTTACTAATGTATTTAATAATATTTTTTTTATTTTTGTAATTAGTTACTATAATTTAAAGAAGTTTAAGTTGTACAAAATAATAAAATATAATTTAGTTTTGATTCAATTTTAAATAAAACTGCAGATAATTTGATTTAGATAATATTTGTTAAATTTGATTTTATTCGTTTATTTAAATTTATTTTACTCAGTTAGAAGTCTAAAAGTAATTGATATGTTTTTGTTTTTTTTTCAAAATCAATTTAAAATTAAAATAAATTATTAATAAATAACGTCTATAGAGAGTAATATATTCTCAGCTGATTTTAGATTTTAAATTTTTATAAAATTCTTTAATTGTTTATTAAATTTTTTTAAACTAAATAATATATTTTATAGTCAAAGTCAAATTGAAAAGAAAAATTTTAAATAAAAATTTAATGAAATTTTATTTTTTAATTATTTTTTTCCAATTTCGTTGTTTGTTTTGTTTTACTTTCTTGTTCTTTATTAACTCCTGAACCAACCTTATGAATTTTTTCCCCGGCTGAGAATATACAAACTAAAAGTTTATTTTAAAAATTTAGCATTTAAATTGTAATTTTTATTATTATAATAAAAAAATTTAATATATAATAATATGTATGTATTTAGTTTAAAAGAGTTTTTGATTAGTTTTTCAATTTCCTTTAAGATTTATAGATTTTCTATTAAATTTCTTTCTATTAAAGTTAAAAATGTTTATTATGATTCATGTTATTAGTTCCTAGAAAATTACAATTATTATGCAAAAAAAGAAAAGTTTTTTTTTTGTTTTGAGCAAAATTGATTTTTTTTCTTGTTGTTTAAATTTATTCGTACGTTATGGAAACATTGGATTTGGGTGTTGGCAATGGTGATGTAGTGTTTTCTTCTTCTTCGTCGTTTTCCTGTGAATCCTCTGGCTCTCCCAAAGCATGTACAAATTCATAGAAATCTATACGACCATCGCCATCGACATCCACTTCTTTAATCATATCCTCAACTGGTTAAGTTACAACAAAAAAAGGTAGAAAATAGTAAAAAGGAAAGAAAATACGAAAATGGAATTATTTTGGTAAACATATGTATGTATGTGTTTGAATTACAGTTCCATATAAAACGGAATAGTGAAATTAATAAAGAAAAAATCTTGCCCTTTCAATAAACAGTTCCTAACTTTGACAGTTGACACATTGTTGATGCTTCATCTGTCGAATTGTTTTTCATTTATTCAGAGTGTCCAGGCGTAAAACATCACTTGTAAATGAAACAAATCTTTAGTTAAAATGTATATTTCAACGCTGTGGCCTATTTTCGAATGTTTAGTATTCCAAATTTGTCGAATTAAGGACAATACCAAGAGTCCACTGTCCCTCTACCAGCACATTTTACAACGTCTTTTCACAACAAAGACGAAAATTCCTACCTATATTGAACACCTTAGGATCATATACAAGACGATATCAGTGGCGGAGAAGGTTTAATATCTAGGCGCACTCCTGCTTGGATGTACATAATTGGGGCCATTAGCACTACCTCGATTAAAGATTTGGAAACATTGTTGGACAAAGATACGTGGCGAAACTCACAGATAAAAACCATATACTTTTCAAATTCCGTATTTGCAGAATAACGTATGAATGTCACACTTGAAGGCCATCCTCCGCTCATTGCAGGATACGGAAAAAAACCGGCCGCGTAGAACAAGAGTAGTTCTGACACTACTAAGATTAGGATGAAGCAACAGGTTAAATGTCTATTGGTCGCACATAGATAGTGGTTAACTATCTAGGCATTCTCCTGCCTTGATGGAAATCGGGTCATGAACACAAACTCGAGCCACGATTTAGAAACATTGTTAGACACAGAGGACGAGTCGAAACTCACTGATGATAACACACGTATCTTTAGTAGAATTGATCAAAGTCGATTACAGGACATGTCATCAATATACAAAACATCAGACGTGCCCTATCAAATACCTGTGAGACATAGGAGATCGTAGTCAACCGAATTATTTGAGAAAACCCCTCCAGGAATCTGTAGGAGACAAAACGGTTCTGGGTATTTATATTGAAAACTCGGAAACTGAAATATAATACCGTCTTCCTAATCACAACACTAGCTTCCAGATGAAAGTCCATGGGGAATGTCTAAAGAATTCTATTGACGATTACAGGACATGCCATCAATATACAAACATCAGACGTACGCTACCAGTGGGACATAGGAGATCGTAGCCATGCGAATTATTTAAGAAAACTCCACCAGGAATCTGTAGGAGACAAAAGTAATCTGGGGATCTATATTAAAAACTCGGAAACTGAAATATAATACCACCTTCCTAAACACAACACTAGCTTCCAGATGAAAGTCCATGGGGAATGTCTAAAGAATTCTATTGACTTTTGTTAATAGTTAGACCGTATCGAATATAGCCATAACCAAATAATCTGCTACCAGGTTTATCGAGGATAATCGGCCAAGAAAAAGCGAATGTCCTTGCTATTAAAAGAAGCATGTTCATTATAGCAAGGAACACTTTCTCTGTCGTAGATAGGCTTTCGGAGAAGTTAGATCAAAATATTTCGGAAATGAATGAGAAATTCTAAAGAACTACATCCAGGAAACTGAGTTTCTGAATAAAATCAGCTGATAATGTTAAATCTAAGACCGTATCGCACAGAGCCATAACCGAATAATCTGAATCATATGGGTATCAGGCCTCTCAGGGATAATCGCAAAGAAAAGGCGAATGAAAAGAAGGATGCTCTTTATATCAAGGAGCACTTTCTCTGTCAACATCTAAGATTCAAACATCATGGGAATGATTGACGATTTCTAAAGAACTATATTCAGGAAACTGAGTTTTTGAACGTTGAACCGAAATTCATGCCATAAATGGCTTTTAAGTAATGAGTACATGTGATGTGGTACCAGGCCTCTCAGGGATAATCGCAAAGAAAGGGCGAATGAAAAGAAGGATGCTCTTTATAGCAAGGAACACTTTCTCTGTCAACATCTAAGATTCAAACATCTTGGGAATGATTGACGAATTCTAAAGTACTATATCCAGGAAACTGAGTTTCTGAACAATGAACTGTAATTCATGCTATAAATCGCTTCTAAGTAATGAGTACATGTGACAATTTTACAGTTAAGGTAATTTGTAATCCAAGAATTCAGAGACGAGGCACTCGAAACAGAAGCAGTGTTATCTCCCGTACTGACGTTACTAGCGGTCAACGGTATTATAAGGCTATTTGAATACAAAAGTAAGAAAATAATCGCCTATTCAAATGGTGTAGTGTTTGAATATATTCCTATACTTGATCACTATCAAAAATTACGTAGAGAATGTGGCTGCTGGGAACGCTGTATGAGTTTACGATGGTAAAAGTTTCGCGTGATAATCATACGAAACGGGTCCACTTGATTAGTATGATCCCAGTGGAATTTCAGATCATAGTGTAAATACTTCAGATTTCGGAACAACGATCTTTATAATGTCATAGCTATGATCTAGCTATCATACAAAGCAAACGAACTGATGCAAAAGCAATAGCTCTGAGGTCTGTAGTTATAATTTATGTCTATAGTCAAGCTGTACTTAGAACATTGGTGCTGACGTGTCTGGTCTTACAATTTAGAAAAAATACTGTGTTGTGTACCAAGACACTACAATATACTGTATAATGAGTTAGATGACAAACTTGCGAGACAAGGAAGAGAAACGAATGTCGAGTGCATAACGTGACCACTTGCCTTAACGGCCTTATTTCACGGTAATCTTTTTCATCCACTGGGTAGACTTGAGAACAGTATTCCACTCGCCCCTGAATTCTTCTATGAAAAAATCAGGTGGCATGTACAAGCATTTTGCTAAAGAGGTCGAGCTATCTAATCTCTTGCCAAGGGATCACGCTGCGGAAAGACAGATAGAAAGCTACCCCTACAGGCTGAAAAGTACCTGACGAATCGATAGAGGGGGGTCAACGTAGACCCCAACATCGCACCCATTGAATCTATAATCTCGGGATCAACACCGAGATAGATCAACAGTCATGAGCCGTAGCGCCCCCATCCTCTAACGATCCGCACAGGTAGTATTTACAACCAGTAGTCGCGCAACCACGAGGCTCTGTTGCTTCGGCAACAGCACAAATTGGTAGATCGAATCACAAATTCCATAATAACTTGACAAGACTTATTTCAGTGGCCATTAGGACCTACTGCTTTATGTTAAGCATCATTAAAATAAACTCCATACACACCCAAGCTTGAAAGAAAATTGCCGATAAAACAAAGAATAAACATCGTCACCAAACCGTTCAAAAACCATCAATCATACTTAAGAATGCAGAAAACCACCAATCCATCAACCTTCTTACATCATCCATCTTTTCCAACCCTTCCGTCTCATCCGACACTTCCATCTCTTCCATCAGATAAATCATATCCAACAGTCAACACATCATTTTAATGATCAATCATTGCATTATCAGCTCATTTGCGACATTTTATTACACAGCCTACCCTGTGGTTTGTACCGCTCTTAACGACGATAATAGAAACTTATATTGAAAAGATATTACTTCACCGTGAATCAAACCAACTGTCCCTTCCCACGATTTTGGATGTAAACCACAGCCACTACGTGGATCCCGAAGGAACCTCAACCAACTGACCAGACAGGACAAAGTCCTGTGGGCAACCGGCCACCTGTAGTACCAGATTATGTGGTTCTCTGATTAGACCCCATGTCAAATCATTCCAGGGAAAAGCACGAGGACACATTTGATCATCACCAGTTTATAGAGGTACTGGTAGCACCTCTATATCCCCGGATTGCAATACACCAAGATGGGATCTATCATCAAGGAAACATGCCCGGGGGGCACGATTGAGCATATAAAATGCTATCATCGTAGATGTCTGGATCTCAGAAAAAACTGGTTAATATTGCTGGATGCAATTTATTTCGGTTTTATTAGGGAAATTTGCCGTTCTGTCAGTTGGAGTCTGCAATGACGTTTCAGATCGTCTATCACATAATTTTCTTGATCTGATTCTGACTTCTTTGACTTTTCCACTATCGCCTTATTGCAGAAAATTACAATAAACCAGAACGATCTCTGAGTGGAGTTGGACCTTAGTTTATATAACCCTTTCTTACCTAACCTTACAATATCGTAATACTTACTCTCCTCCTCATCAAGATCTTCTCCCAAACACTGTAGAACGGCTCTTAAATCTGAAGCGGTAATATAACCACGATTATGTTTATCAAATACACGAAATGCATCACGTAATTCTCGTTCTTCCTGATCGGCAGATGAAAGACCCGATTTATCCTCGTATGCCATATTCGACAAGATGTCAACAAATTCCTCGAAACTAACATTGCCATCGCCTGCCAAAGAAAGTAAGAAGAAACAAAAATTGAATGAGTTTAAGACTCCAGTTAAGTTTTATATCTGACTAAAAAGATACCAGATAAATTTTATAAGTTCTAGGTTTCGTTGCAAATTGAGCAAAAAAATATATTTTTGTTTTACAAATTAGAATATATAGAATTGTTAAATATCATCAGTATGATTTGAAAATATCGCTTACCATCAACATCGATTTCCTGCAACATTTCTTGTAGTTCTTCAACACGAGCAAATTGACCTAAAGATCGCATTACTGTACCCAGTTCTTCTTTGGTTATACAACCATCGCCATCTTTATCGAATAAACGGAAGGCTTCTCGGAACTCTGTAATGAAATTATTTATAAATGAAAACAATGCTTAATAAAGACGGATAATAACTGATCAACTAAAATGACATTTAAAAAATTATAAATCTTTTAACTGCATAAGTTTATGGACATTTCTTATGTAAAATATGCTGTTACCTCTCATTTGTGCCTTTGATATGATTCGGCCACTACCGCCCTCATTCGAATCATTTGAATACGTTCGTTGTGTTGAGAATTGACGTATTTTCGATTTGCGTTTGACACGTTTCTCACGCGTAAATCGTAAACTACCACCCTCCGTACTTGAAGTATTACTACGTTTACGCTCTTTTAAAGCCGACTCTCCAAAATAGTCTTCATCTTCCATATCATCCTCATTTTCATCATCATCCTCCTCTTCTTCATCATCATAGTCCTCTTCATCGTATTCCTCGTCTTCATCTTCGCCATCATCTCGTTTTGTATCACGATCACTAGAGTAGTCTTTCTCTTCATTGCCATTGTCCTCATAAACGATTTCCTCGGCGAAATCCCTGACACACGTGACACGAGTACTTGTTAAGACATTTGAATAATTTTGACGTTGTTGTGCTGAAATAGTGGTGGTAAAATCACATGATGAATCCGTATCTGGATCTGAAGTATGTCGCTGTTTTCGTTGATTTCTTGGTCGACGATTTCGTTGAGTATTGATTTCTGTTCTAGAGTTGCTATCTTTATGACGTTTATTGGATTTTGTTGTTATATCAGCTATTGTGCGCTCATCTTCACCATTGTCATGTAAATGGGGTTTTTTGCGTTGTCTGGGTGAACGCCGTCGCGCTGGGGGATGAGTTTTTGTCAAAATACCATCTACTGAGGGTGACGCCGCTATCGATGTACTTTGTTCATTGTTTGCCGCCGCAATGGCATGTGATATATCTGTCTGCGCTTCATCGTTACTGCCAGTTATCTGGTCAACGTTTGTAAATACGTCTGCAGTGTCATCGACACTTACGGATGTAGTTCGTGTCTGAAATAAATTTTTTAAGAAGTTAAGAAGTTAGAAAAGCCAAGTGAGAGAGTTTTGTTTCTTCTCGAAGATATTCGGGAGATAAAGGTAGATTACCAGATTTCATATGTTTCTGTTAGATTCGATATCGCGACTAGGGGAATTTTAATATACTTTTAGAAAATAGTTTCGTCCAAGAACATTTCCTGACAAGGAATAGACTGTGGTAGGAAATGTCGCGTATACAATTGAGAACTCATTTCAATATTGTAATATTAAAGTTTAAAGCCTTGAGAGATGCAAACTGTCTAGGTATAGTCCCAATGTTTACTTCTTGAATTTATTTTGCGGTCCTATTATGTTAAGTGGAATCTGAAAAAAATTTCAGGATTTAAGCAACCTAATGGATACCAATCTCATTGAAGAAAATGCCATGATCAATAAGATAATATTTCAGTAGGTCTGTCTCTCTAAGTATAAAAGTTTTTATAACAAGAACTAATAAATGCTGTAAGACAAACAAGTATTTTAGTACCTTGCTTAGTTCTGATTGGGGTTTTTACCGAAACTGAACATCAAACACAGAGTCCGAATTCCAACGGTTGCCTACGCCTACTTGTCGCAAGATGTTCGGGATGAATAGATGTTGGGGATTAAGAACATGTGGACATGTTAGGATTTCAAGTCTACTGCCTTTAGCCAACCATCCGACCACACTACCCCAGAGTTTTCAAAGTCAGACCTCCCTCCAGATATGATTAGTGGATTTATACAGATGGTTCTAAAATGATCGGCGATGTTGGTTTTTGTCTTCTCGAAAAAGCTGGGATAAGTTATTCTCAACGTGTTTCCAACAACTGTTATGTTTTTCAGTTTATCGCCTGTGTTTTTCAGGCGATAAACTTTTACTGTACCAGTTCTCAATTAGTTAGATAATTTAAGAAGGATCTGCGAAGGCTACGCATAGCGCCTACTATAAAAATGAAGAGGCAGGTGACCTAACCAGAACGAGATCTGTTTAGAATATCTCCAACTCCTTTTAAGCAGCAACTATGTTGGGATCAAAATTAGTATCCACAGACTATTTTTAAACAACATGCTGAAAATGGATGGAATAATCTAGATACTGTAGCAGGGCCAAGTTATGGGGCCTTCATTCAAGGAGAAACGCACTAGGCAACTTATAACCTAAGGGAACAAGAGGGATATATCGAGGTTGCTGGCAGCACTAACTGGACACTAAATACATATCGACTTGAGCTGCCGTTTAGCGATTTTTTCAGCTGTAAAGGTAAGGTGAATGTGCTGCCTTAACTGTCATGAGAAATAGGAAGGGAGTTACATTATATCTCACTGCTACAAGCAGGATCTAATACTGAATACAATATGAATATTTTTGGGCTACAACTCCCTTAGATGAAGTGAATAATTAGATTAAAATATATATTTAATAATAATTATTAAAAAGCACTCACCATTAGCTGTCGAATTTCCCTGGCAAATGTTGAACCAGTGAAAAAATGATTAACTGCTGTAAAAAGTTTTTTTCCTTCCAACTTGACGGTATAAAATGAATTTCGTTGGTGATAAAATGTTCGTCACACACGCACACACACACTCGCACAGAGAACGGACAGGACAATACAGGACGACAGGCACTTTCACTAGAAATGCAAACTACAATTAATGGCAATTTTCAGGGAAAAATAAAATTCTGAAATCCAATTGTCAAGCTTTTAATTGTCAGCCGTCAATTGCTGTTTAATAATGCAATATTTGTCAGTGTGTGTACTCTCTCGTGGCCAGAGCAGCCCTGAACAAACGTGTAAACACGTACAACCACTTGTTTTACAATGATTTTATATTTAATTTTCCTTTTTATTTAATTTTTTTTTAAATATTCGTTGTTTTATTGTTGAACCAGTGTCAATAAGTATTTTACTAATTGGCAATAAAATAGTTGATGGGTTCTTATTTTAAATATTTTTGTTGTTGCTGTTGTTGCTGTTAAATATTGCTGCATTGCTGATGTACAAGACACGCTTCCTTTTTTGTTTTAAATTTTTTCTTATTTTATTTTAAATATGCTTGTAAATGATTAAATTTTTAATGTTGTTTAAAAGTTTCCTGTAAATATATTGGAAAAAAGTAAATATTTAATTATACAAAAAATATATATTATTAATACAACACATATTCTATTTAAAACTGTGATCTGCCTTAATATTTTGATGTTTGTAAAAACTAATAATCAAAAGTAGGAAATTACTATTTGGCATTTTATGCACTTTTTTCCATATGTCAACTTCATTTTGTTCAAATTGTCAAACTCATTTCCGTTTGCATTATTTGATTTTATTTATTTCGTTTTTGACAAGTTGATTAAACGTTAATGTTTTTTTTCACAAACCACACAAATGTCTAAAAATTTGCCAGAATTTCATATCGAATTTTGGGAAATTAATAGAAATAATATTTGCATAATAAAGGATGATTTTTGTTTTGAATTTCCAGAAATGAAGTTTTTTAAAAGTTTCAGGTTATTTAACTTTTGATCATATATCTTTAATACATTATTGAAATTGGCATATATACCCCACTAATACCATGGTGCCACTTATAATTATAAGCAAATCCAGATTCTCAGTTATTGCTAATACCACGTTTCCACGGTGTCGCAGATTTTAAGCCAGTGGAAACATAGCATGAAGAATTTAGGGCGTCTATTTAGAGGTTGAATGTGGCATAACTTGCTGTTAGATAAAACTCGGAACAAATTTAGGCAGACTTTAAACAATGATTGTGGTTTTCAGTAATGAATTTAAGAGCAATTAACTTCGTTAGTATTGCCAACTTTTCAGTCGAATATATAAACAATAAACAGTTGCTTTAGAAAATATTACTTTTATTAAGTTGAATAATTTTATGAAAAAAAAATAAAATTATTATTATTATAAATTAAATTATGTTTATCTTCTTTCTTATTGATTATTTTATTGTTTGTATTGGTTATGTTTTCTCACTTATAATAATAATTGACGTAACTGAATACTAAAAAGCGCAAAATTTAGATTAAACTAGATTAAATCACCCAGTCAGTCAATTAGTAAAGTTATGTATACATGATTGTTACATCTTACAACGTTGGCAGTAAAATGTTAGTTAGTTAGTTAGTTAGTTAGTTAGTTAGTTACTTAGTTAGTTAGTTAGTTAGTTAGTTAGTTAGTTAGTTAGTTAGTTAGTTAGTTAGTTAGTTAGTTAGTTAGTTAGTTAGTTAGTTAGTTAGTTAGTTAGTTAGTTAGTTAGTTAGTTAGTTAGTTAGTTAGTTAGTTAGTTAGTTAGTTAGTTAGTTAGTTAGTTAGTTAGTTAGTAGTTAGTTAGTTAGTTAGTTAGTTAGTTAGTTAGTTAGTTAGTTCGTTGTTGTTCGTTCGTTTTCGTTCGTTCGTTAGTTCGTTTCGTTCGTTCGTTCGTTCGTTCGTTCTTTCGTTCGTTCGTTCGTTCGTTCGTTCGTTCGTTCGTTCGTTCGTTCGTTCGTTCGTTCGTTCGTTCGTTCGTTCGTTCGTTCGTTTTCGTTCGTTCGTTTCGTTCGTTCGTTCGTTTCGTTCGTTCGTTCGTTTCGTTTCGTTCGTTCGTTCGTTCTTCGTTCGTTCGTTCGTTCGTTCGTTTTCGTTCGTTCGTTCGTTCGTTCGTTCGTTCGTTCGTTCGTTCGTTCGTTCGTTCGTTCGTTCGTTCGTTCGTTCGTTCGTTCGTTCGTTCGTTCGTTCGTTCGTTCGTTCGTTCGTTCGTTTTCGTTCGTTCGTTCGTTCGTTCGTTCGTTCGTTTCGTTCGTTCGTTCGTTCGTTCGTTCGTTCGTTCGTTCGCCCTCCCCTCGGCCCCCCCGTCCTGTTATGACCTCCTTTACAAGTATCTATTGAAAATCTAGTCCACAACCTCCGCATTGACAAGAATGACGAAGTGCTTTACGTGACCACCTGCCTTAAAAGCCTTATTTCACGGTGGTCTTTTTTATATCCACAGCTTCTTTGACGAATCACCACCGCCCCTTACTACTTCTTACAGGTACAAACACTTTGGACTCACTCAATGCATTCCTTTAAAGCGTAGGTCGCCCACTTGGCACTTCGAAGCACGGATTCATTTTTACAACACAAGATGGGATCTATAATCAAGAAAACATGGAGGAGTCTAATCCGCACTGACATGAATGTCGAAGTGCTTCACGTGAACACCTGCCTTAGAGGCCTTATTTCACTTTGATCTTTTCCAACTACTGGGTGAGCTTCACCACCGCCCCCTTGTGATTCTAACACGCCGGTGGCAATTTACGTACATATGTATATCGAAGTTCCGGTCCAGTATACGTGCACTTTGCTCGAGTGCTCTTATCTCTGACCATTGCTGCCCCGTTGCCTTACTTCCGAGATGAAAAACATCACTTCCGTTTACAACCACGCAGATGGGATGGCCTCTGTTGAGTCGGCTACTGCACGAACGACACACCCATAAGAAAACAACATCCGACACACTTTCTCTAGGTATACGGGTTGTCAAGGACTGTATACCCCTACATTCATCCTGTATCATATACAATTAACACCAACTTATTTCCAACGCTTAGTCTCACAGTCACTCCTCTGTGGGGTATCTGTTGATATTCGGTAACAGCACCGAACTTATCCCGAAATATATGTAGATTTCACCGTGCATCAGTTTTTTAACTACAACTTACTCTTCCCGCGAATTTGGGTTTAAACCACAGCCACTAGTGGATCGCGAAGGAACCTCAACAAACTGACCAGCCAGGACAAGTCCTGGGGGCATCTGGCCACCCGTAGTACCAGATTATGTGGTTCTCTGGTTAGACCCTATGTCGAATCACACCAAGGACTAGCCGAGGAATGAAGTTACATTACCATTTTATAGTCACGGCAGACTTGAGGTGCAGATAGCACCTCTTTACCCCGGGATTGCACCAAGATGAGGGTCTTTCATCAAGGAAACATGCCCCGGGAGGCCATTCCATGGAACCAAAGATGTTGTCATGAAAAGGTTAATGTGTAACCAAAAAATCGTTAAGTAAAATATTGCCACAAATTTCTTGAGAGTACTCTTGATAAAAAAAACCCTAATAAAACAAAGTTTCAAGGATGATGATTATAAATGAAAAAACAAAAAAGTATCAAATGTGTTGAATTATGATTTTTTTATTATTATGTGTATTTTTATCTAAGAAGAAAAAAAGTAGCAAGTCATAAAAAATATATTGTACAAAAACCACTGAATGTTTTCGCACACATACATCATCATCATCATATATATAAATACGCAAAGCCAAAACGATTGGGAACATTTTCCGGCTCTATTACTTGACCGATTTTCTTGATCCTTTTTTTGATGAATGTAGATTCGCGAGCCTCACTGCAGAATCTATATATGATCAAAATCGGTTCAGTATTTTCGGAAATATAAGCGTTTAAAGTTTCTACCAATACACAATCACACAAACATGTGCTTGAATTAAAAAATAGAAAACAAAATAAGAAAGCAAAACAACAACACTGCTTTTTTTTTCAATGTAGAAATAAAGAGAGGAGAGTGTAAAAACATGTTACTTCTCTGTTGATGGTTTATTTTTGTATTTTGCAAATTGCAATGATATTTTTTGTTGTTGTTTTTAATAAGATTTTTGTAAACTAATAAGTATACAGACGGGCTTAGGCAAAGCGAAAATATGATTTTATTGTTTTTTATTTTTTAAAAGTGTAAAGTGATAAATTTTTAATGTAATAGTGATATGTTATTATATTAATGAAGTAAGATACAAGAGGATGATGGGAAAACATTGGTGGGACAACAATTCTACATAAATGTTAGTTTTTATTGATTTTTAAGATTTTAATGATGGACAAAAACAAAGCCTGTTAAAATATATGTAAGTAGGATAGTTTAGTTGGTCATGTCGGTACATGAATGAATCAGTATATCGCAAATACGTAGGTTTAGCACAGTGAGGATTTGATGATATTCTTCTTTTTTGGGTTATTCTTACCAATTAGGAAAAAGGCGGTTATAGAAATATGTATTATATGTTTTATAAAAATAGAAAAATGAAACGGGTCAAATACAAATCATGTGTTCTGGGTTGATGGCTGCCCCTACTTAAGGTGATATTAGAGTAAAATACATGTCGTCTAATACCACCTTTAGCAATTTATCGTTTATTATTCTTTTACTTGCAATTAAATTTACATATGTTAATTAAGCATGGAATTTATAGTTTATTAACGTTTTCTTTCAAACATTTCTTATAAAGTACTTAAATACTTAAATAATTATGAAAAATTAAATAATAACTAAATCATGGACAAACTCTTAAAGTAAAGAGGCGTTAAAGTCTTATTCTCCAGATATAAGAATTTATTCCTGTTGCAAAATCTCTCTTGCCTATGCACTTCTATGCGGAAGCTAATAGAATGCCTATTAAAAGGTCTTCGCTTAAATGCCTATAAGTAGTACAGCTTCATAGAATATCTACTATTAAATTCTATTAAAAAACATTTAAATTTAAGCCAAATAAGTAGTAAGTCTTTATCGAGTGCTATAAGGGAGAATTTATACAACATAAACCTGAAGGATGGACTTTTTATACTAAAGACAGCAAAATTTATTTATTTCTTATAGAGATAATATATACTATATATATCCCTGTTCCAAATGCCCATTCCGATCTAAAATGGAGTTATTTTAGTAAAGATATTTATTAAAACTTAAAAAAAAATTAAAACACCCCACTTTAAAAATTGAAAGTGGTTTCATTCCACTTTATTCAAAAAACAAAAAGACGGAAATAATTCCACTTTTGATCGGAATGAAATCATTTTACAGTCCTGATGGCAATAATTAAAAAATTGAATTTTGAATAAAATGTTGTTAGATCATATTTTGCAATGTACTTTTTCAAGTCTACCTTCTGCGGAAATACATAGTTACAAAAGATGAAAACACAGAAGATACGTTGAATTTTAGTTATTAAAATCTATGTCCAGTTTTAGAAAAAAGGTAATAGGTTTGGATTCTGTGCGCTCTTGAGAATTTTAATCTATTTTTGTTTTTGTTATCTGTCAGCT